CGTAGCCCAACAAACTTTATGAAGGGTATAATCTCCAAAATGTTGTATAAGTTAATTTATTTTTGTTTGATAGACAAAAAGATCATTTTTACTATATAAAATACCAACTATTTATTTAAAAACAATTTTTAAACGGTTTGCAATTTTTTTTGGAGATTATACCTTTCATAAAGTTTGTGGCGCTACGTAAGGGGCTCACTTTGATATAATTGAGTCTGTGATCGACTAGGTATTTTTGACGTAATTTGTGATTAACTAAGAAAAGCCAAAATGACCCATTTTTGGGGTAAAATTTTGGACCCGAAATTCGCAAAACAAATTACACCATATTAATTCTGCTAAATTTTTATGCAAGTTTAGTCTTCATAAAGGTTCACCTAAACTCAACCCAATTTGAGAAAAACTCGTTTTAAATTTCAAGTTTAACGCGTGTTGTCCGGTTAATTATAAATCAGCACTGTATTTGTGAACCGTGAGGTTTTTCCGGACCACTATTATCCGTGTTTCATTTGATGCTCGAGCATGACGAATCCCTAAAACCTCCAAATGCCGCTTAGCTTCTGGCTTACAATATTAATTAAACTTTCAACGTCTATCTAAATTTTCAATTTATTTTTTTTGAATAAACTTCCTCCACTTAGAATGTGGAGAACAAACTGATAATTTTCCCATCATAAACTCAGCAATTGAATTAAGTAGCGAGCCCAATTTACACTTGAATAAAACTTTTTCCGGATTATTTCGGCGCCAATGTCACGCAATAACTGAAAATAGTAAATTACGTACGCTCGAGTTAATAGTCCAAAAACGACATTTCAAGCCTCCATCCCTTAACAAAATATTGCGTGGGTAAAATATCTTTTCGAGCTTGAGTTTAGAGCATCCACGTTTTCTAGACAAATAAAACTCGGTCTCAGGAACTGCTAGTGAAAAAAGCCGAAACTGAACCCGGGTCGAGATCCCACTTAAAAAAACCGCTCAAGATATGAGCGGTTTGAGCGATTTTTCAGCAAGATTTGAGCGGTTTGGGCGGTTTTTTTGGAAAAACCGCTCAAATCGCTCAAATCTTGCTTAAAAACCGCTCAAAAACCGCTCATTTCTTGCGGTGATTTTTGAACGGTTTTTCAAGCAAGATTTGAGCGGTTTTTGAGCGGTCTTATAAAGAAAACCGATTAAAACCAACAAAAAGGCCTGAAAAGGTAATGTGACCCCGGGTTGACATCCATAAACCGAAAATGCTTTTTTTTAATTTCCCCACACCGAAAAAACTTATCATACAATTGCCTGCATCAAATGTATGGAAAAATCATACAATTTCAAAAAACCATTGAAAAAAGATTCAATCTAGTTTCTCCGGCTATTTGAACCAAAAACGACAGTCTGGTGATGAAAAATAACTACGTTTATTTTTTTTTTGAAAAAAAAAATGGTTATCATACAATTTCCATATATGAAAATTGTATGATAACCATTTTTTCAAGAAAGGCAAGATTTTCAGAAATTGTTCAAACTTGTTTGTAAACAAATTTAAATTATTTAAGAGTGCTTTTCCTCAATTTAAAGGGCATTGCTCATCAAAAACGAAAATTTAATTTGAAGCTAAAAAAATTTTTATCCTACAATTTCCATATCTGAAAAAATGTTTATTCTACAATTTCTATATATGAAAAACCGCTTATCCTAGAGTTTTTTTAACAATTTTCTGAGTCTAGGAAACTGTAAAAAATTGTAGGACAAGCATTTTTTCATATATGGAAATTTTAGGATGAGCATTTTTGGTCAACCCACGCTAAGATGAAATACTATCTACAATTTAAAAAAAGTGCTTAACCGTTCTCAAATCAAGCTATATTTTTTTTGATGTCTTGATCAAAAACAATGTGAGCGACTTTTTTCAAATGCTCGAGCAAAATAACCACTGGAAAATATTTAAGATTCGAGCGGTTTGAGCGGTTTTTATAGACAATTACGCTCAAAATCTTGCTTCAAAATGAGCGGTTTTTTTAGACAATTACGCTCAAAATCTTGCTTCAAAATGAGCGGTTTGAGCGGTTTTTGAACGGTTCATGTAAAAAAAACGCTCAAAAACCGCGTAAGATTTGAACGGTTTTGAGCGGTTTATCTATAAAAAAACGTTCAAATCTTGCGCGGTTTTTTTAGATAAACCGTTCAAAAACCGCTCAAACCGCTCATTTTGAAGCAAGATTTTGAGCGTAATTGACTAAAAAAAAACCGCTCAAACCGCTCAAATCTTGCTTCAAAATAGGTGAAAAATCTGGACTCGGGAAGTAAATATGCCGTTTTCAATTTGAACGATTTTACTTTCTCGTAGATTTTATTTATTCAGTCTCCTCAATTGTATTTGAGTCAGTTAACCAATCTAATTCAAATAACTTTTGAAACTGAACATTTAATTTCGTAGTACCCTCATCCAAGTTTAGGCTCGAACAATCGTTTATAACGTATTGTTATGGTGATTTTTTTTACTATTACAACTGAATATAATTACCAAAAATATGTGTTTGAAGGATTTATAATCTATTTTACTCGTGACATTTTCCAAGAGATTATAAACTCTTATAATCAAGTTCACTTAATCAGTTAAAATCGCTCATAATCAAATAAGATCTCTTGTCAAAATTTTTGTCACAATAAGTTATATACTTGAATTGAATTCTATGGATTAATCTTTTTTTATCAATAACAAAATCTCTAAAATCGAGGCGTCTTGTTCTACTTTGGTTCATCTAATCACAACATTTTACCTCGAAACAGCAGTATGCTTTATAATCGATTATAATCTCTTTTGTTCGCCCGTTTTGTCTTCGACGTTGCATCTTAATTGCTTATTTTCTATGCTTTTCGTAGACGTTGGTTTAAACGAAAAATGAGAAAATTGTTTTGAGAAAATTGTTTTGTAAATCGATTCATTTCTTCGCTATTACAGTTGTTTCATAATGCCCATTTTAAGTTTTATATCACTAAAATACCAAAACATTGCTTTTTTTTCATGACTTAATCGGAAGATTTTTTTTCACTCATAGCGCAAATATTTCAAATATTATGATAGTATCTCTATGGAACTTTGGTTCATCTGATCAGAAAGTCTTACCACGAAACAAAAGTTCCACAGAGATGCTATCAGAATATTTGAATTATTCGCGCTATGAGTGAAAAAAAGTCGTCCGAATAAATCATGAAAAAAAGCAATGTTTTGATATTCTAGTGGTATAAAACTTAAAATGTGCATTATGAAACAACTGTAATGGAAAAGAAACGAAAAAAATGAAAAGATAATAATTTGAATTGATTTACAAAACAATTTTCTCAAAACAATTTTCTCATTTTTCGTTTGAACCAACGTATACGAAAAGCATAGAAAATAAGCAATTCAGATGCAACGTCGAAGACAAAATGGGCGAAGCAAAAGAGATTATAACCGATTATAAAGCCTTTTTTTGCGCAAAACCTACGAATTAGAAATTTGGATGAAAATTATTTATTATAATTGAATATAATGATTAAAATCGATTAAAATTAACAATTGATTATAATTATCTTTCAAAAAATAAGTTTGCTAGTCACAAATTTGTGGACAACGAAATAATGCTAGTCCACAAATTCATGCAAAAAAATGCTAGTCAAACTCATTTCACGCAGCTGGTTCTATAGAAAAACAAATGGTATGACTACTGTATTTTGTCAACCAAGACATTTGCTTGATGACAACCAAGGAAAATGTTAGTCATACAGTTTTCATATCATTATCAAGTCAAACTATGAATTAACTGGCTTGTAAGCGTTTCACACAACAGGTTAAAAACAAATATGTCACGGAATCCACAAAAAGGCTATCTTTTCCATTTTAATGCTGTTTTGGTTAGGAGCTGAAACATTCTCCTTGTGTGTCAGCCCGGGTTGACCTCCATAGACCAAAAATGCTAATGATACAATTCCATAAACTCAGTCTATGAAAAAATACTAATCATACAAATTTCATACATTTTGCTAAAATGGTGTCGTCGAACTTTCGAAAAACTTTTCTCTTGTTTTGGCATAAAATTCGGTGTACCTTACTAATTAAAAAAGGAAAACTTTTTGTCAAAAAAATGCTAGTCATACAATTTCCATATATGGAAAAGGTATGAATAGTATTTCTTTGATGGCGACGACAAAAGTATTTTTGAAATTGCCCCCCAAAAACTTTTTTGTGTTTTTTTTTCAACCGCAAGATGATTTTCGTACTCAAACAAACGTTTTTTGAAAACAAAAAATTTGCTTGCAAAATTTAGTTTTGTGTATAATGTAGTCCTGGATATACTAATATTGGATCTTTTTCCTTTTTTTCTTCACAACTTTTTTCAAAAACGCTTAAAATTTCTCTTTGTTTTGTATGACATGTTTTTGTATGCCTTGATCAATGTCTGATAATTTAAAAAATTTAATAATTTTTTTGAGATATTAAAATCTAGAAAAAACAATATTTTTGGTTTATGCAAAAATGCTAGCCATACAATTTCCATATATGAAAAAATACTAATCATACACTTTTCATGCAATTCCAAAAGTACAGGTAATTGCTTGAAATGTCTATGACCAGACATTGATCAGGGCATACAAAAACATGTACTACCAAAGAAGGAGGAGTTTTAAGCGTTTTTGAAAATAAATATGGAGAGAAAAGGGAAAAAAATACAATATTAGTATGTCCAGGAATACAAATTTCGCATTCAAATAAAAAAAAATGTTTGTTTGAGTACGAAAATAATTTGCGGTTGAAAAACAACACAAAAACATTTTCGGGGTTAATTTCAAATTTTTGTCGTTGCCATGAAAAAAGTGCTAGTCATACGTTTTCCATATATGAAAAAATACTAATCATGCAATTTTCTGTACTTATGGAATTGCATGGAAAATGTATGATTAGCACTTTTCCATATATGAAAAATGTATGACTAGCATTTTTGGGCAACCCCTATAGGATATATTACATATTCTAGCAAAATGTCATTTGTAAGGAGAGTTTTGTCTACAGTTGCGTCTATCTGCTTATTGCCTTTGTGCCACTATACACCGAGTATATTTCTATGGACAGTGATTGTCCATCAACACATGTGGCATCAATGATACTCTCTTTGTCACTTCAAATCTATCTTCTCTCCATCCCCCCTCCCCTCTAGAAAATAGCCAATTTAATTCCGCGCTGTCATACATTATTGATTGTCTATAAATGCACAACATTACTCGCGCGCAGGAGTAGAGAAACAAATCCATCTATTAATCTGCTTTTTCTCTTTTTCATTCTTCTTTCCATTAAAATTCCATTAAATCTTCATGAAACTAATTCTTGCGGAATAAATTACAAAGACTCAAGTTGCGACAATAACGATGAAAAACAAAAAAGGTATATTTCGAAACTTCTGATTCTCCTGAGCAATTTCAGCTGCTCTTTACTCTCGGTAGATTCCAATTAGCTCTAATTAATTCCTGCTGAAGTTGGTCTATCCTTCTATTTCGCCCTTTTTCATTCCAAAGTGTCCCCAGTGGTTACAGTGTTAGAGGCAGAAAGATAGATTGAATTGAGCTACTGTCAGAGTAGCTATGCGGAAATGAAGGACTACTTATAACATTTGGCTGTTTATCCTATTGCCACTCTGGTTAGTTTTGTCTCTCAAGTTATGGTGGTGTGAGACTGGAGGCTGTTGTCTTGACCCCCTTACGTTCCCAATTAAACCCCAATAATCTGGGAAAGCTGTTGTAAAGTTGTGATGGAAATCATTTGCAGATTTAACTGACAAATAAACACTGATATAATTTTCACTTTTATTACCAACGCCACACGACAACAGAGAAAAAGTAGAGTTGTGAAGTTGTTGTGCGTTGATTTATTATAAACAGACTAGTACATAACCTAGTTACAATTCGACAAGAAAAACTAATAAATCACCAACACTCAGCAGAATTACTTCTTCTTCAAAATAGAACCAAAATACACCTTCGTGATTTTATACCAGGTGTTACTAGAAAAAAGTTTACCCCAAACAGGAATTAATTTTTAACTGCGTACTTAGAAGATTTTTCAGGGGTGTTTGGGTGAGGAGATCGACTAATCCACCAATACCAAAAAAACGGAAATGTTTTTTCTCGACCCGTATTTTAGCTGATCTGAAATTATTTTTAAATCAATTTAGTTTGAATCACCTAATTAATCACTTCGGATCAATTTTTTTGTCTAAATATTGGTTTAAATCGATTGGATTGTTTTTATGGCCATTTAAATTGAAACTTTATCAAAATCGAGTTGTAAAAAAATTTACCAGATTTTTGGATGCAGTTCGATTTAAATTGGTGAGTTTCTATCTCGCTTTTATTCGATCATTGTTTGAATGAACCTTTCTTGTCAGTTGTATATATGGACGCATCTTATTTACTGCTAGATGTTACCCTGGTTGAATTGCATTGAAACTCAGAACTGTACCAACTGTGTTGCTGTGTTTTGAGGGAAGTTAGGGATTTACCTGTCACAATACACATAATTACTATGATTTAATGACGCGCATCATTAATACGTCGACTTTTAACGCAATTTCGAACTCATTAATGGTTCATTGATGAAGTTTTCATGAAACAGCGCTGGGAAAAACAAGTTTTGCCATCGATGAATCAGCTATGTTCCATTGGTGTTCATTGGATGGATAATCCGTCGATGTTCATTCTCATTTTTAAAAAAATGCTGTTTTGAAATTATTTCTTATGCCGTCGTTGATGCGTCGTTATGACGTTTGACCAGATCGAAAATAAAAAGTTTGCTAAAAAGGAATGCTTTGTAGTCCAAATCTTTTTTCGTTGGGTAGAGTTACAAAATTTGCGTTTAAATCTTGAAATTTGCGAAAATTTGCGTTTTGAGTTTGAAAAAGTTTTGTTCAAGCGTTTTATATCTTTCAAAATATTCCTAAACCAACTAATTCAAACCGCGAAAACATAAGATGGAAAGATTATAAAAGGATCTCCTGAAAATTATGGTATGCGGTAAAAAGACTCTCCCGAAACATTACGAGGCCAAACTGTGCATTTTGTGCATTGTAAGCGGATTCCGCAACAAGGACGCTCCTTTTGTTTTTTTTTGTTCTTTACTTTTCTTTTAACATGTTTAAAGACTTGTCTCTGGAATCCAGGAACATACAGACACAAAATTGTGCGCCTGTCCAGTGCACAGTTTGGCCTCGTAATGAATTTTTTTTTCTGAAACTTTTTTATTCAATTCATGTCCGAAACAAACAAGACTGCTCGTATCAGGGCGAAGCCCTGAATGTTCCGACTGCCTTTTAGGGTCTATGGAGCAGTAATACATTTAGCAATTAAATATAATAAAACAAAATGAACTTTTTTTTTCTAAAAACTGAAATTTTTTTATGAGAATTATCCCCCACACGCCATAAAAAGTACAAAAGGATAGATTTAGCTCCTTGTTACAAATCATTATGGCAAATAAGCTTCTGTCAACCAATTTGGAAAAGTTTCTAAGACGGATTAACTCTCCGCTTACGCGTTAATAGCGCGAAATATATCGCGCGTTAATTGTCCCAAAGTGGTCAAAATGTAAATCTTTAAACCCCCATAACTTTACGAAGAATGATCGCAGGTAAAAATATTTTTTCAAATTTGAGCTCAGGACAACCCTACCTTTCGAATGATATAAAAAAAATGACCAGTTAAAAAGTAGAAACTTGTCTGAAGGAAAAAAACACCCCGAGCAGAAATATTCTGTTACTTTTGTATCGAAAGTCTGAACAATAAACATTTGTTAATGCTCAGTTGATTTGTAAAACTGAAAACTAATATGTTGATAGAAAAGAGCATGTATGACTCAGTTCAACGACCAAACGTCTACAGACTTGCTATCATAACAATGTAGATGAAATATGGATGCTTATCGTCAAAAGATTTGTGAAACAACAATAGTCAAATTTCTTAAATTGCTGGTCATAATTTTTTGAATTGCATTACAAATTCAACTCGGGTGTGTATACTCTATAAGTACCAGTGTTTCATAACCGCTTATTTGTTTATTTGGCAATTTCTGTTTTTTCAAAGCCATTGGACATCTTTTCGAATTTTTCGACATCCATTTTTACTGCCCAACCTTAAAATTTTTCTCTAGACTAACCCTCTAATATTTTTAAACAAACATAAAACTTATATATACATACATATATATATATATATATATAATTTAGAAAAAAGGACCGTGTGTTTCAAAATCTCTTTGTCACAATTGTCCCTCATGTCACCACTAGTTGTCCTATTGAAGCTATGTTTTGTTATTGTTTGCCGAATATTATTGATACAATTCCTTGGTTAGACATTTTTCGCAGTTTTGCTGCCTTTTGACCTACTAAAGTCTGTATTTAACGGGAAAATTTGACAAAACAGAAAATGTCTTTCTCAATTGCTCAATTGGTTTAATTTCAGAAAAAAAAATTAGAGGACAAAACTTGCTTGGTCTTTAACCAGAACTTTCAAGATATAATTTGATTTGAGATAATTGGACCCAAATTGAAAACTATAAAATTTTCGTTCCATTCGTTTGGTTTGTGTATATGCACATGTGAAGCATCAATTGATGAAAAAAAAACTATTTATGTTTGCTTTATCTCGAACCAAACACATTACCACTTTAAGAGTTTAGTTTTGGGTTCATCTCCTCACACGCTATGTAAAGTACAAAATGATATACTTTGCATTCAGCAAACTAATAAATAGACCAAAGAGCAGGCTTCAATCCAATTCGGAACGATTTTTAATACGGATTAAATCTCAGCTTACTCGTTGATAGCACGAAATATATCGCAAGTTAATTGTCCCAAATTGGCAATTTCTATACCCCCATAACTTTACGAAAAGTGATCACAGGTAAAATCGTTTTTTAGCTTGAAGATCAGGGCAGCAATACCTTTCGAATGGTATTTTAGAAATTTGGCAAAAAATGGTTTGTTGAAAAGTCAAAACTTGTCTGGAGAAAAAACCACCCGGAGCACAAATGTTTCGTTATTTTCTTCGAAAGTCGGAACGACAAAGAATCCATAGTAATCAATCTATCATCTCAGAATTTGGCAAAATTTTTTGCCTGTTGGTAAAAGAATGGCTTCAATGGATGAACTATCGGTGAAATTAAAAGTGATTTTTAAAAAATGTATTCTAAAACAACTTGTATATCGAGAACTGAAATAATCTATAATCGAGACTAGAAATAGAGTGTGTGTGCGTGAGAGAGAGAGAGAGAGAAAAAGGAAAGCGAGATAAAACTGAGGAAACAATCAGAAAACAGCGCAAATACATTCCATGCCACTGCAGAGGAAATGTGATTCAGTGTGGATAAATTTAAAAATGAGCTAATGAAAATGAAGGGGCTGTTGAAGCCATTAGCAATCAGTACTCGACACATCACTATACTGAACACACACCACACAACACAACACAAACATACCATACCTTTGTAACAAACAAATGACAAACCCTTCAAAAAGAGGAATGTGTTTTGTTCATTGGCACCGGCAGATGCATATACATATATAGAGATAGATAAGATAGTTAGAAGGGCAGATTGGCAAAAATAGAGAGATGGAAGGAGGGAGGAATTGAAACGAAGGACTAAGAGACAAGGAGTACTCCACTCCAATTGTCACCATCCTCATCATCATCAGCATGCCATAGTTTCACTCATTCCATTCTTGTTTCAGTTTGCAATCGACCAACAAACACATTACACGTAACACAATTCAACTCTGAACAGAACAGGATGTGAAACCTAAAAAGAAGCAATTAGTGTGGAACAACGACTCTTCTTCCATTTATTCCTTCATTACCATCAACTCCCATTGAAAATATTAACACACTGCATCTGCATATATTTCCTCATTGGTTCTACACACTTGATAGGAGATATTTGCCCATTTGTGAAGTTATACTGTGGAATTGGATAGTCGAGAACAAGGATGGCTGTCTATTGAAACTGAATCCTGATGTTACCGAAGTTGGTGTTAGCTACACTGCATATGGACCCCACCCAATCATACTCAACATTTACTAATTGTTTGCACTCCTGTATTTCCCCAAAAGAACAATGAGGGATAACAACAAGGAGAAGATTGGAGAAGATTGAGGGCAACTATTGCAACTGTTGTTGTGAAGTGAGCAGGGTAGGGTGCCAACAATATTACAACTTATTTCCTAACTTGATTCGCCCTCTGTGGGGAGGCAGACACCTTACAACTCCCCTGCTGCACTGCACAACAAAGCCCCACAGCACAACACGGGACAGGACAGGACAAGTGAATAATAGAGGAGAGGAGAGGAGAGAAAAGGGAAAGGAAAGGGAAAGAACAGTTGAGACACAAGCAGGGAAGAGCACATTAGGGGAGAAGAAAGGGGACCTGCAGTGTGTGTGTGAGAGAGAGTGGTGCATATACCCAACCACTCCTCTAAACTACCCCCCTGAGAGAGGAGGACAGGAGAGGAGAAGAACCATTTGAACAACTTACTTCCTCCGCCAAATCTTCCCTCTCTCTCTCTCTCTCCCTTTCTCTCCCTCAAATATCATCCCCCCACAACTTCCTCAATCCATCATACCAACCAACTTGCCTTTACTTCTGAAGTTGATCGCATACACAGAGATGATGCAGCCGCACTCTTTCAGCCCAAATCAGTCATAAAGAGCAGCGACAGAAATCACTCTTACATTCTCTGTTCCAGCCCCTGATCTGATCAAACTCTATCCATTAATCCACCCCTCCTTCCAATTCTCTGTGACTTCTTCCTTTATTAATTCCCCTTCCTTGTATGTCCTCCTTAAGTAATGCAGTGACCTAGTTGTGACCCCAGCTGCACAACATCTCAAATTGTTGTGCCTTCAAACTCTCTCTCTCTCTCTCTCAATCCAATCTCGGCACACTTCAATTGAAAAATGAGTTTCATGTTTGCCCCCAGAATAGTACATCCGCTGTTTGCTTACTTTCTCATTTAGCCCATTTCCCAGTTGTGCCCATTTATCCATCTCTCCCTCTCTCTATCTCTCTCTTTAATTAACATCTGAGCCCATTTAGTCCCCCTACCCTCAATACACTTCCATTTCATTCCTTCACAAACTATTCCCTTTTTCTTCTCTTCTTTTTCGATCTGATTTTATGACTTGAAAGCTTCGTTTTAAAGGCAAATGACTCCATTTTAGGGATTTCAAAATTGATTTTCCCTTTTCTTCTCACTCCTGTACATCCGCACTATAGTCGGAGTCTCTCTTGTTGCTTAGTCTTGTTTTACGGCCCCCCTGTGCCACTTTTACGACACATTGTTCAACTGCATACTCTCTTATACCATTTGTGATTGTGAATCTACTGGCTGTAACTCAGATCTGGACTATAATTCAGAAGCGAAGGCAAAGAACAAGTGTTTTCCACAATTCTCTGAACATTAGACCAGCTACAACATACCTGCGTGTTCTTCCATTTTCACTCCAATTTGTCAAATCTAATCTTGGTTGTTGTTTTGATCGATATGTTTAATGTTTCAACCACTAACAATAACACAACTTCAGATTCGACTAATACCGCCATTATATAAACTATTTTACAATTTACACGATCTCTATCTCTCCTCAAGTCATAAATTGGGATCAGTCATAGACCCCCACTTCAGATATCAAACGGTGGAATGCATCTATTTGACCACTGAAGTCCCCCGCCCAGCCCCACATTATTGGCACTGACTGTATTTTAATATCCCTGACAGGAATTTCCTCTCCATTTCGATAGTCTCTACAACTCAGCTAATCCGACAGATCTGTCACAGTTTCTTCGCTCACTACTTGGTTTTGGCCTCTCGGTGGTTTCTCTAAATTGACTCCATTTTCTCGGCTGACTTAATTCGAAAGTGTTTTTATCACCAATTATAACAGCTTATTACTGACTGCCAACATGTCCCCTGGCAGCAGTGGCGTAGCCAGAGTGTCTGCTGCTCCGCCCTCCAAGTGTTGCTGCTGCAGAACCAGAGACGGAGTAGTCATCATCGGCATCGGAATCCTCGTTAGTTTAATAAATCTACTTATACAATATAGTACCTAATTGCTGTGCATCACGGAATGTTCCGACTACATATTAGTTCTGTTTATTTTAAAAAACTTTTTTTGTTCCGACCACTGTTTCTAGGTTTTGTCTTACTTTTTTTTTCGCGCAACCATAAAAAATTGCGCAGAGTAAAAACATATTGTTCAAAAACCATTCATGTCGAAGTTCAAACGAAGGTTTAAAGAAAATCAAAAAATCTACTCAATGTTGAAATTTTTGCTTTTGAAAGTGGTGCGGTTTGAAAGTCGGTTATTCCTGCCGGTAACTTTTTCGATAGCTTTTTCTCCGGGAAAACTATTTTTCGAAGCCTCATGTAGCGCTTCCTAGTCGAACAATAAAAAAGGATTCCAAAAAAAAAACTCGAAAAAAAATCTGCCAAAAATTAGAAAACAGTTTCAAGTTTTTTGAATTTTTTTTTTTTTTGTTTGCTTTTGTGATTAAATTTTCGATGACAACAGGAGTCAAAAATGATATATAATTTCCAATAAGTTCTATTATTTGTCTTTCCTCTCATGTTACTACTAATGGCACGTTTTTTCAATTTTTAAATAGTCGGAACTCATTGTCGGAACGCACAGCAACCGGTTATCTTATTTCAATCGTTTATCTTATGAATCCAAGCTTTTTCTTTTCTCCCTTTTTCGGTTCTAGTTTCACCAAATATTGAATCACGATCAAATCTCGAGATAATAGCCAACCCTCGTCAAAGAAATTGATGCTATATATAACGAATGCGATATGGGTAAGAATTGCCGGGAAGGGGGGAACATGAAAAACAGTAAATATTTAACTCTTATGTTATACCATGGTTTAGGTGGATTTTCATGCTGAAAACAATTTTAAAAAGACAATTTTAATTGCCGTCAAGGCCAGACCAAATGCAACGATCAATCAAACTCTTTTTGAGATTTTTCAAAAACTGAGAACACAATGAACTTGTTAAATTCTTTCCAAAGGAAAAACGACATGGTCCCAGGCATAACAAAACGTGCAGCTCTTCAAAAGTCGAGGCTCCTTCTCAGTCTTGAAGTTATAGAACTGAGCAGTTTTATTCGGCAGACGTGCTCTTGGGATTGTTAACAGTGTATTGTTAACAGTGCTACGAAGGTGTATTTGTTGTATAGCGTTCCAAACTCTTATGGAAGTTCAATATCAAAAACAGACTATACTCTCATGGGAGACTTCGCACAGCTTCCATATACCTTAGGTTTTCAAAATAATAAAAAACTGTTGGGAGGACGAATTGATACGGAATTAAAGAAAAATTGCGAATGGAACCTTAAAATCACGGATTATTAGTGACATATTGAGGGCTGATAAATGTCTTGTTTTTCAACGGGTCACAAACGTGGTTCACGTGGTAAAAAAGGACACTTTGCAACAACGTGTCGAATTCTGCCAGCCACCAACCGCACAGGTAGCAGTAGAAACACTCATCCTCTGGGCTGCCACATAGGACAAAAAGATGGCAGAGAGGTAGAAATAGTAAGTTAATTCAGGTGCTGAAACAACAGTGATTTAATTGAGCTTCTCGGTATAACTCAGAAAATCTACTAAATGGAATGGCGCCAACACTAGAAACATACGGTGGACTCTTGGAGCATATACGAAAAAAAACTCTCGGTGCTTTGTGATTTGCATGGAATGGTCGAGTCTACAGAAATTGTATGATCAAACAAAGATATCAGACTCCTCAGATCTGGTCTATTGCCTACCAAGTATGCGCGACAGGTTCTATCAATTTTATTACCGATGCGAGAGACATTAAAAGCTGAGCTACAAGTCAACTTCAAACAGGGAGTGCTTGAGGCAGTATAGCCCGGAGGAGTAAACAACAGATCAACAGTCGTCCAGCAGTGGAAACTCAGTCACTTGAGCACTTGAGCCTTTTTGACAACAAAAAAGATCACCTCAAGGGCTAGCTAATTGACCAAAATTCTTCATTTCACAACAAGTAGACTTAGCTTCACTTTGCACGTAGCTATCTTTTTTGGAAAAATTATCCTCTCAGACGTCTAACACCAAATTAAACCAAATTATGACTCAGAAGCGCAAAAAAGTTAAAACTATGATAACTTTCCATCATCATCATCATCACATATGTTATTTCGACACCAATTTCTTGAATTCAAAGGTGTTTGAGTTTAATTAAAAACCAGTTTTGTCGTATAAATAATCAGTCGCTCTGCTAAAGATGAGTTCGTTTCTGTCAATAGCCGTACCCACTCTAAAATGAGCTGGGATTTAAACAGAAAATGTTCTTTGAAGATGGTTAAAAATCGGACCCGCTCTAAAATGAGCTGGGCGTTTCATCGTCGTCGCCTTCTTTGCCTTCGTTTCACAGCCATTGGATTTTCTATGCTTCTGAAGGCGTCATAAAAGTCCTTAGCAAGTTCGCGCACGCCATTTGCTGTGGGGTGAAGTCCATCTGCGCAAACATGCCTCCGATAGCTGAACTTTACAGTTTTAAAGAGCGGGATTTTATACCATGCCGTTAGATTTCTGTAGCATTTATTCACTCTCCTGATAAGAGAGCGTTCACCTTCCCGGCTAATAAGTGACATGACGCCAACTTCGAAATTGCAGTCAAGGAGTCTAAAAATAGCACTCTCCATCTCCTCGGCTACTTCAGTCGCTCCCAATGACTGGCGCCCTGAACGGTCAAACAGGTTGTTTGTTCCTCCCATTATGAGCACTGTTTGTACATCCAAGTTTTTCATATCATTGAGAACCTGATCGCTACAAAGGGTTGAGAGAGTTCCACCAGGGCACGAAACTGTCACTGAATCTGGCAGAAAAATCCCATAAACTAGCGATGATCCCAAAACAGCATATGTCACTCTCTTGATCTTATCAGAGCTCAATATTATCCGTCTTTTGGGGAGAAACCTGGTTTCAACATGAACATTTCTTAGACGCAAGGTTTCGTTTAGCTTTTGAATTCCAACCTTTCTAGTTTCAGTCATTTTAGCAACCTTTAACTGAAACAAGTCTCATAGTAATACTGGTTAAACAACTTCCAGGACAAGTTGTTCGTCTACTGAATAACAAGAGAGCAAAACGAAAAAGTTTACACTTGTAGTCAACGCGCCGATCCAACGAAATCAATTCACGACCATTGAAACAAAATCAAACGCGAAACGACATAGATGACAGTTGGTTCGATTTCAGCTATTCGGTATCAGCCCCATAATTGGATAATTGAGAAAAACGGATCGAAAGATAACTGCGAATCATTTTGTGGACTGGAAACTTTCTACGAACAAATGATACCGATTCTTTTAGTGTTTTCAGCCCACGTTTTAACATCAATTACGAAAAAAATGCAACTGATTGTTTTGATGCCATGCGCTGCTTTTAGTCGTACAATTATGAACATGTTCAAGTCCTAGGTGTTTGGTTGCCGAGTGATTGAAGTTACATGGCTTCTAATCTCCAATCAGACACTCTCCCGGGTTGACCAAAACTTCTTATCTTCTTATCATACAATTTTCCACCAGGGCACGAAACTGTCACTGAATCTGGCAGAAAAATCCCATAAACTAGCGATGATCCCAAAACAGCATATGTCACTCTCTTGATCTTATCAGAGCTCAATATTATCCGTCTTTTGGGGAGAAACCTGGTTTCAACATGAACATTTCTTAGACGCAAGGTTTCGTTTAGCTTTTGAATTCCAACCTTTCTAGTTTCAGTCATTTTAGCAACCTTTAACTGAAACAAGTCTCATAGTAATACTGGTTAAACAACTTCCAGGACAAGTTGTTCGTCTACTGAATAACAAGAGAGCAAAACGAAAAAGTTTACACTTGTAGTCAACGCGCCGATCCAACGAAATCAATTCACGACCATTGAAACAAAATCAAACGCGAAACGACATAGATGACAGTTGGTTCGATTTCAGCTATTCGGTATCAGCCCCATAATTGGATAATTGAGAAAAACGGATCGAAAGATAACTGCGAATCATTTTGTGGACTGGAAACTTTCTACGAACAAATGATACCGATTCTTTTAGTGTTTTCAGCCCACGTTTTAACATCAATTACGAAAAAAATGCAACTGATTGTTTTGATGCCATGCGCTGCTTTTAGTCGTACAATTATGAACATGTTCAAGTCCTAGGTGTTTGGTTGCCGAGTGATTGAAGTTACATGGCTTCTAATCTCCAATCAGACACTCTCCCGGGTTGACCAAAACTTCTTATCTTCTTATCATACAATTTTCACATATGAGAAACTTCTTGTCATACAATTTCATACAATTGCATACGTACAGAAAATTGTATGAAAACTCTATGATAAGCCTTTTTCCATAAACCAAAAATTTTGATGTTTTCTTTCTAAATTTAGTTTCTGAAAAATATTCGCTTGTGTTTGCAACCCAACACAAGTGACAAAGACCTTGGTTACTCAAAGCACCAAAACTTTTAAAAATCATGTAATAAAAAAAACTTTTTCCAACCATGATATTTTCAATGTTTTGAATTTTTAAATTATCAGACATTTATCAAGGCATACATAAACACGCCATACAAAAAAATAGGAGTTTTAAGGTTTTTGGAAAAAAAATTTCAAGTGGAAAGCAAAAAGAGCCAACATTATCGTATCCAGGACTACGTTATGCACACAAAAAATTAAATTTTGCCTGCAATTTTTTTTTGTTGAAAATGTCCGTTTGCGTACAAAATTGGTTTTGCGATTGAAAAAAAAAACAAAAATTTTTTGGGGCAAATTTTCAAAATTACTTTGTTGCCACCAAAAAAATGCCAGTCATACAATTTCCATAAATGGGAATTGAATGATAAGCATTTTTTTCAAAAACCAAAACCTCGGTTTTTTATCACATGTTTCATTAGAATCAAAATTTAGTGAACATCTCTTTTCAACCATTTTTCGAAATTGTATGAAAATTGTATGACAAGCATTTTTCCACACACTTGATGTATGGAATTGTAT